AGTAGTAATAGTGGTAGTAGTAGTAGTAGTAATAGTAGCAGTAGTAGTAGTAGTAGTCGTAGTAGTAATCGTAATCGTAGTAGTAGTAGTAGTAGTAGTAGTAGTAGTAGTAATAGTAGTAGTAGTAGTAGTAGTAGTAGTGGTAAAATGAGTAATCGTAGTAGTCGTAGTATCAGTAGGCGTCGTAGCAGGCTTCGTAGTAGGAGCAGTCGTCGTAGTCGCAGTCGTAGTCGTAGTCGTAGTAGTAGTCGTAGTAGTAGTAGTAGTAGTAGTAGTAGTAGTAGTAGTAGTAGTAGTAGTAGTAGTAGTGGAAGTAGTAGTAGTAGTAGTAGTAGTAGTAGTAGTAGTAGTAGTAGTAGTAGTAGTAGTAGTAGTAGTAGTAGTAGTAGTAGTCGTAGTAGTAGTAGTAGTAGTAGCAGTAGTAGTAGTAGTAGTAGTAGTAGTAGTAGTAGTAGTAGTAGTAGTAGTAGTAGTAGTACTAGTAGTAGTGGCAGAATCAGACAGGCAGATCGAGCGGGTAGACCCTACCAGGCGGCTCGGGAAGGAGGGCCCAGGCGGCCAGGTCGAGCAGGCGGGTTGCTCAAGCGTGCGTCCTGCATGAAACGCGAGGAAGTCTCGAGCGACAGCTCGAGTCCCAAATCAACAGTCCGGAAATCCACAGCGAGAGCGTGACTTCTGAATGTCGAAGGCGCGGCGCCTGAATAAATTGAGAAAGTTCCACGCGAGAACGCGACTCCTGAATAGCACTTCGAATGAAAAAACACAATGGACACCGGAGGGGGGGGTCAGAATTATTCTTCAATAGTGAAATTTCAACCACAACAACAACAGCAACAAAACAAGGGCGGCCAGCGCCGACCCGTCGGAGCCCCCCCCCCCCCCGGACACAACCGCAACGACCCCCCCCTTGCCCCCGCAAAACCCCTGCAACAACGCCGCCAAGGCCGTTTTACTTCGTTCCTCCTTCTTCGCCCCGACGTATCCATGCAAGAGAGAAGCATGTGCGCAGCGGCGCAGCGAGCAACCTCAAGAATCCTCACTATTACTACTACTACTACTACTACTACTACTACTACTACTACTACTACTACTACTACTACTACTACTACTACTACTACTACTACTACTACTACTACTACGACTACTACTGCTACTACTACTACTACTACTACTACTACGACTACTACTACTACTACTACTACTACTACTACTACTACTACTACTACTACTACTACTACTACTACTACTACTACTACTACTACGACTACGACTACGACTACGACTAACTACTACTACGACTACGACTACTACTACTACTACTACTACTACTACTACTACTACTACTACTACTACTACTACTACTACTACGACTACTACTACTACTACTACTACTACTACTCCTACTACTGTTACTACTACTTCTACTACTACTACTACTACTACTACTACTACTACTACTACTACTACTACTAATAATACTACTACTACTACTACTACAACTACTACTACCACTACCACTACTTATGATGAAGACCATGGTACCATATGGTAAGAGTAGAAGGTTTGCTCGCGCGCAGTTTAGCGACGGCGTAGTGCTACTTAGTGGCGCTGTGCCGTCTTCCTCGCTGGTCAGATTGGGACATGCTAAACGCATACATTATCATTTCCCGATCTCATGTTCGCAGGCACGTCGCGGCGATCGCAGGCCATGCTGGTCGTTCGGGGCGGAGGCGGGGGGGATGGGCGGAAGGGGGGGCGAAGCGGCCTGCTCTTCCCACCTCCCGCCCTCTCACTCCTCCTGGAGATTTGTCCAGTATCGTAGTGGATCTGGCTGTTTCACCATTTCGGCGGCATCGACGCATGGCTCTGCGAGCGACCTCCTTGCGGCGGTTAGTGCGGCACGCTGGTGTGGGGATTAATCTGGCAACTTAGCTCCGCGACCAAGTCCGTTGCCTTGTGCGGTGCCGTGCGTAGTCCGGCACGGATGCCCGCGGCACCCTTTCAGGCAGCAGCCAGCAGCCCTTGCTTAGCATTGTCGTCCATTGTTTTGCATTGCTTTGCGCTGCTTGTGATGCTTCGAATTGCTTCGCATTGCTTCGCGTTGCTTGGCAGTGCCTGGCCTTGCTTTGCTGTGTTTGGCATTGCGTTGGTTTGCTTCGCGTTGTCTTGCATTACGTTGCTTTGCCTTGCGTCGATGTGCCTTTGTTTTGGCTTGCTTTGCTACGCTTTGCTTTGCACTGTTCTGCATTGGATTGGATCACCTGGATACTACCCATCCATCAACACACCCACCAAATCGTACATCCTCCCCCTCCGCCCAGTTCCCCCTCTTCCCCCATCCCTTCGCCCTCCTCTTCCTCCTACTTCCCCGCCTCCTTTCTGCCTCTCCTTGATGCTGTTGAAGTTGCTGCTGTTGCTGCTGCTGCTCCTCCTCCTCGTCCCCCACCTGTTGCCCCCCTCTTACTCCACATACTCATCTTTCTCGTCTCCCGCCCTGCCTGCCTTTCCCCCTCCTGCCCCATCTCCCTCTCCTCGTCTTGCTCGTCATCTTCCCCATTCTTTCTGTTTTCTCTCATCCTCTTTCTGTTCCTCCCCCCTCTTCCTCCTTCCCTTCCTCCGCCTCTTCTGCCTCTCCGCGTCCTCCTCCCTCGTCGTCGTCGTCATATTCGTTTTTGTCCTTCTCTCCTTGCTCAGAAGGATTCTGGGCGTGCTTTTGTGGACTTCCTGGGTTTCTTGGGGGGGATCTCGTTGCCACGGATGGATTCGCCTCGGGATCCTTGGCAGGTTGTGCCCTGGTCGAGCTCTGAGTTTGCTTCGGGTCGAAACGTGCTGGCCTTTTTTCCCTCTTTCGATTTTAAAGGAGGACGTCGCCACGGCTGGGAGCAGCTCGGACGCTTGGCGCGCCTTCATTCTGGCAGGGGTCCCGGTACCGAGTCTGAGATGTCGGCCGCCGTTGCCCCCCCCTCCGTGAAAGAGGGAATGCGGGGAGGAGCGGCAAGGCTGTGAACAGGAACGTGGAACAGTAGGAAGTGGATGTTGATGAGGGGCGCGAGGCGATGGAGGGGGAGGAGGAGTAGGAGGAGGAGGAGGACGCGGAGGAGGAGGAGGAGGAGGGGGAGGAAGAGGAGGAGGCGGACGAGGAGGAGGACGAGGAGAAGGATCGGGAGGAGGAGGGGGAAGAGGAGGAACAGGAGGAGGAGCAGGAACAGGAGGACGAGGAGGAGGAGGGAGGAAGAGGAGGAAGAGGAAGAGGAGGACGGGGAGGAGGAGGGACAGGAAGAGGAGGAAAAAGAAAATTGAGGAGGAGGAGGAGGAGCATGAGGAGGAGGCCGAGGAGGAGGAGGACGACAAGGAGGAGAAGGAGGAACATGAGCAAGACCATCAGGACATTGACATTCGCTTCGGGGTGAACTAAGTCAGGCGAGCTGAATCAGCCAGCAACCGACCTTCGGGCCGTGCCCAAAGCGCTGCCGATGACAAATCGGCTCCACCGAACCCAACCCAGGGGGAGGAGAAAGGAGGAAGAAAGAGGAAGGGAGGGAAGGAAGAGGAAGAGGCTACCCTGCTTCCCAGAGCTATCAGGGACTAGCCAGTTCTTCGACTGGGCACTGTGATATTCCCTTCTATTGTTGCGTATGAGACCACAACATCTGTTGAACCACGCGTGAAAAACAAGGATGCCGCCACACAGTCGGCCGCCTCCTCTGCACCTGCCTGGCGCCAAGTACGCTGAGGGAGAAGGAACAGATGTGTAAAGTAGTAAGTAAAAAACTGGACAAACAAAAGAGCACCACTGTAATTACCCAAATACAAAGCCGAAGTTAATGCATCAAAAATCTTCTAGCTCTTGTCTAAGCTCGAACACTATAGAAAACGGAAGCACGTCACCTAAGATGACACCGCTACCCCGTTTATAGTTTGGGGATTTCCTTTGTCATTCGCCCTGTTGGTTTCCCTATGGGGAGTGCGTTGGCCATCTAAGCCTTGCATTCTGGCTCTCCCAGAGCAGCCACAAACGCGACAGATTATAAGAATACCCGTAGGGTGCTCTGAACGGTACAGGGTGTGACCACGCTGGCTATGAAACAGACCGCGAAGAATTGGCGAAGCGCCCTCGTACCCTAAGTCAGGAGGTGGAGGATGGCTGAGCAAGCGGTCCTCAAGCCTCCTCTCTGCAGGGTCTTGCCTGGAACGGGTACTGCAGCGCTGGCAGTGCACTCACAACAGTAGCGACGCCACCTCCAAACACGGTGGTTCGGGCCGTCTCCAACGGCCCCTTGAAGCACAGCCGGAGGAGGGGGGTGAGGAGGGTCATGACCAGCGGCGCTGGCAGCTGGCCTTTGCGTCCTGATTCGCTGTAGAAGATGCTCAGGAACATGAGGGTCCAGTGCATCTATGACGAAACGTACACTCCCCTGAACCTTAGCAGGGCCAGCTCGCTCCAACTTCCCTTTCGGGAGGTTTGGGGAAGAGAGACAATGCTTCAGGGGAGTGTTGATGATGACGGTGATGATGACGATGAGGAGGATAATGATGATGATGCGGATGCTGATGATGATGAGGAGGATGAGGATGGGGATAATGATGATGATGATGATGATGATGATGATGATGATGAGGAGGAGGACGAGGAGGATGATGAGGATAATGATGAGGGTGCGGATGAGGATGACGATGATGATGCTGACGATGTCGATGATGATGACAACGGTAATGGTGGTGGTGATGGTGATGGTGATGATGATGATGATGAGGAGGAGGAGGAGGAGGAGGAGGACGGAGAAGAAGAGGAGGAGGAGGAAGACGAGGAGGAGGACGAGGATGAATACGAGGGGGAGGACGAGGAGGAGGGGGAGGAAACGGAAGCAGGAGCGCGATGAGGAAAGGGATGAGGAGGAGGAGGAGGAGGAGGAGGAGGAGGAGGAGGAGGAGGAGGAGGAGAAGGAGGACGAGGAGGAGGAGGAGAAGGAGGAGGAGGAGGAGGAGGAGGAGGAGGAGCAGCATCGCCAACCCATCACAGCCCCGAGTTTCGCTCGAGGCGGGAGGCCTTCGGCCAAACGCCAGTGCAGCGATGACCGCGGCCGAGATGGCCTCTCGGGTCGTTTCGGCGCTTGCCGCGCTGCTGCCTGCTTTGGCTGCGGAGCGAGCCGCGCTGGAGCAAACAGGCCGTTCGACGAAACGCATCCATTCGGGGCCCGAATTTGCACTCGTTGGTGTTTTTGCGGTCAGGGTTGGGAGACGGGGAATCAGGGGGGATGCGGGATTTGCTTCCTTCCCCGGGGGTGGCGCCCAGAGGCGTCGATGTGGCGGCCGTGGAGCAGTCGGCTGTCCAGTTTCAGTCCGTTTTGGACAACCATTTCGACCCGCCTGCGCTGGCATGGCGGCCCCGATCCTCGGCCTTTCTCGGCAACCGGGCCATTCAGAATAAGATCTACTACCAGAAACGCAAGCGCCAGGAGGCCGAGGAGGCTCTCGAGGAAGCCGCCAACGCGAAGGACAATTCCAATTAACAAAACATTCATCATCGTCAGGGGGGCCTCCTAAACATCCCCGCCCCCGCCAGCCAATCGCAACTTCGCGTTCCCCGATTTTCCCCTCGATGTAAGGTGCGGCGCCGAAAACCCGACGGGAACAGGACCACTCCCGAACTACAGGGGGCAACGCGGGAAGGCTCAGTTGCCCAAGTCTGGTGGGGATGGGCAATTTGGCCGTTATTCGGCTGCGTTTTCTTGGTTTGACATACAACTGAAAACCCTAGTGAGGGCGAATAGTTCCGTCGAGCGTGCCCTTGCGCCCCTTCCCCTGGGGTTCCCCCTTCGCTGTTGTCGCCGGTTAGCCTCTCAGGTGCCCTCGGGGGCTGCGATATCCAAGGGTCTCACGTCCTTACCTTTCGTCTTTACTACAGATTTTGACTCCACGTCGTCGCGCCCCCCCCCCCCCGCCGCCAACGCCCCCAGGGGTTGGCGCGAGCGCGCGCTTGAGCGCGGCACCCGCCGTCAGGACCGTGGCAGGCTGAGGACTCTGTGGTACGTGCGGGCGGCTTCGGTGGACCCTGCGGTGCCGGCGAAAATGGCGTCGTCTATTTTGGGGGAGTTCCCTCGCGCGGAAGCGCAGTCTGCGTCCCATGACAGCGTCGGAAAGGTCAGGGACGCCGTGTGCAAGCCATTGGCGCTGTCGCTTGACCCCGCCGCTGCGCCCGTGGGGGCGCCGCAAGGGGGCGCGGGAGCGAATGCCAGAGGGCGGTCCGGGGGGGCGGAGGCGCGCGCCTTCTGGCGCCGCGCATTTCGCGCGGGCGTTTTCTCTCCGTGGGGGGGGGGGGGGCCGGTTGCAAAAACGGACGCGGTTTGGCCTCGATGCGTCGCGGCCCTACTTGGGCCTTGCACGGGCAAGCAACGTTTTCCGCGCGCCTGCCGTTGCAGCTGCAGTGGCGGATTTAATTGCGGGTATTAATCAAAAGGAGATTCAGGCCCTGGCCGCTTCAGCTCGCGACGTCGGGGGCGCCTTCGTACTGCGCCACGTCCATGACGAGTGCACGATGCGATTGCGGTCGTTTTCCGCGTCCGCTCATGACGGCGCGTCCTTGCCAGTCTGGGGCCCTACCAGCAAGATGCAGAACAACGTCATCACTATCTATGGGCCTGCGGAGTCTGGCTCTGTGAACGTACTGACCGAACTACAACCTTTGGGCCGCAAGGATGGCGCGTCGCTGGCCACCGCTGTCGTTGCCGCCGCCCAGCCGTCTCTGGACTCGCTGTTGGGCGGCGGGGCGAAAAGATTGTTGCACATCCTGATCGGCGACGGAGTGAACACCAACCAGAATGCGTGCAAACGCGTGTTGTTCCACTTCGAGGATGACGCTCGGAGGAATGGGTATGTCTATCTGTTCATCGAGCTGATGTGCGGATCCCATGTCGGGAATATGTGCGTTCTTGTATCGGTTTGCGCCAGGCGGTGCAAGAACCCTGTGGACAACGATGCCATCTGTGCAAATGCATCGCGGTATTTTCGGCACCTCGTCCCCGCGTACGTGGAAGAGTACGCCAGCGCCTTGAGGGCGTGGGTAAGAGAGAAACTTGACGTCGTCATCGAGCCTGGCATCCCTGCGGACGTCGCCGCCTCCAGGGAAGCTCTTCGAGCTCTCTATGGGGGCCGCGCGTTGCCTCCTGCTATCCTGCGGCTGCTCAACAGACGGGTCGGCGTCCTCGAGCTTTCTGCGGTCGCGCCCGTGCACGCAGGCAGGGTCGCTGGCGACATCTACGCAGAGCTGCACAAGTTTGCATTGGTGGTGGACGAGCACCCGGTGCAGACGCGATTTTTCACGCTCGCCGTTTGCATCCACACCCTTCTTGGCATGAAGCTACTGGGTGTACCTTCCGCTGTTTTCCGCTCGAGCACAGTGGCTCCCCAGAGCGAGAATGCTGGGCGCATCGCGAATTTCATTGCCTGGTGCGATGACCCGTTCACCCTTGGGCAGCTTCGCCGGGCTTCGCTGTGTTCGCGCATTGCGGTCCACGCAACTGCACTAGCTTCTCGGACGCACGTTGACGAAGGAGAGGACCCGATCCTCGTGCAGCTGGGGAAGGGCATCGTGGAGGAGAAGACATCGCAGGACTTCGCGGTGTTGGTTGCGGCCTTGGGGAACGATCCCAACCTCGATTTGACGGCCGTCTTCATTCCGATGTTACTGACGCTTTCGCATATCGTCATCCGGTTCTCTGAGCATCAGAGATATCCGACCCGATTGTGGGCGCTCTCCAAAGAGTGCAACCCCCAAGGGTACGACAGCGCCATCCGTGATTTCTTGCAGTGCCCCGTCGGCAGTCTGGACATGGGGTGCAGCGTCCCTGTCCGAGAGGAGGCGTGGGCCCAAGGGGACATCGATGCTGCAGTTCTTCATTTGTCGAGGGATGTTTTCCAGCAGGAGCTTGTCGATTTGTTTGAGAGGGCGCAAGCGTCCTCCCTGGGCGTCGAGCGGAAGCACGCGCAGGACAAGCGCTCAGAGCGCAGGAAAGTGGTCGGAGTGGCGCGGGCGTCCAGGAACAGCATCTTGCGTCGATATCGGCAAGTGCAAATCCAGAGGTTGCGCGCGATCGCCAGGGCTAAGAGGGCGAGCTCCGTGTCGGTCGCTCGACAATGGTGGCCTCACTCATTTCCTCGCGGTCGGGGCCGCTTGCGCTGGGAGGAGGGCGTGTCCGCTGAACAAATGGCCCAGGTCACAGCTGTCGGCGATGTGGACCTCCTGCGTTCGCGGATGGCGGAGCACCAGGTCGCGCTCGAAGCGGAAGCGGGGAGCCGGCGGGCCAGGGCTAGAAACGCAGAGCAACTCCTCAGTAGCGGCATCATGCCGTATACCAACGCAGAGTGGTTGTCATATCTTGCCGACAACGACGACCTCTTCCGAGAAACTCTGCGCACAGCTACTGCTCACAGACGCGGCATCTCACAGAGGATGCAGCCCGACCCCGCGGGCTTGCCAGAGATGACGAGGGCCAGGCCCCTCCGCCACAAGGCCGTCCCGCTCGCTTGGGAGAAGAGGCTCGCGGCGCGCAGCCACGGCTGCTTTTCGTTGCTCTTCGAGGAATCTCAGCAGGTCGTGTTCGTGTGGGCGCGCTCGCTCCGAGGGGACTTATGGGGTGCGATCCTGGAGATGGGCGGGGGGGCGTGGACTCCACGATTGTTTCGCTCCCGCTCGCGAGGCCGCTGGCGGGCGCGATGGGTCCGCCCAGGGAGATCTTGGACGGGCTCGGCCTTCGTGGTGGTGCCCGCGCCCAGGAACTTGACGTCGCGGTGACTTCGTGCTCTGACAGCAAGTGCATTTTCACCGTTTTCGGCGCCGAGGACGTCAAGGAGCCGCCCAGACGCACACGCAGGACGCGCCCGCAGATGATGCCGACTCCGGCGACGAGGACCACGTCAGCGACGCTTCATCCGAGGTCGAGGCTGCTTTCAGCGATGCCTCTTCCGAGGCTACCACCGTCTTTCCTGAGGATGACTCTGGCGCCGAGGCCATGGGGCCCCCGGCCGATCCGAAGCCGCCGGCGCCCGGGCTCGAGGCGGGTGCCCCTGCAGACGAAGGGGGCGGCGTTGAGGGCGACGGCGCCGAGTCGGACGACGACGCTCGCCCTTGCGCCCCCCCTGGCACGAACACAGTCGTGGAGCATAGCAACCTATATTTCACCTGTACCAACAACCCTGCGTTCCCAGACGTGGTGATGACGATTCTTCCGCAGTGGCGCAAGTGGTGAGGACGCTCCCGACCAAGTTCTCGCACGCCTGGTCGCCGAATTTAACCTGACCCCGGCGCTGAAGACCAAGGCGAAAAACAACCTCCGGAGGCTCGGTGTGAACACCGCTGGAGAGGAGGGCGTGAAGACCATGAAACTATATTGGGTTCTTCGCCAATCAGACGGCAATGGGGCGGATACTCGCATTGACAGGGCCAAGATGGAGGAGCAAGCTGCCAGGCTGAAGAGAATCACTCGCTTATCTCGGACCTACTACGTCCTGCCGCGCAAGATGAAACCCAACTTGAACGAGATGTTGCCGCCAGACGTTTTTGTGGAGCCCGCGCAGTTCCCCGAGTGGCCCGCCAACGTGCGCCCAGACACCGCGTGGTTGGTCGGTTCCTGCGTGCCCAAGCAGACTCTCGGACCAGGGGTGTTCCCAGGGTCATCGTTGCAAGTAGTAGTAGTAGTAGTAGTAGTAGTAGTAGTAGTAGTAGTAGTAGTAGTAGTAATAGTAGTAGTAGTAGTAGTAGCAGTAGTAGTAGTAGTAGTAGTAGTAGGAGTAGTAGTAGTAGTAGTAGTAGTAGTAGTCGTAGTCGTAGTCGTAGTCGTAGTCGTAGTCGTAGTCGTAGTCGCAGTCGCAGTTGTAGTCGTAGTTGTAGTAGTCGTAGTAGTAGTAGTAGGAGTAGGAGTAGGAGTAGTAGTAGTAGTAGTAGTAGTAGAAATAGTAGTAGTAGTAGTAGTAGTAGTAGTAGTAGTAGTAGTAGTAGTAGTAGTAGTAGTAGTAGTAGTAGTAGTACTACTAGTAGTAGTGGTGGTAGTAGTAGTCGTAGTAGTAGTAGTAGTAGTAGTAGTAGTAGTAGCAGCAGTAGAAGTAGTAGTAGTAGTAGTAGTAGTAGTAGTAGTAGTAGTAGTAGTAGTAGTAGTAGTAGTAGTAGTGGAGGTAGGTGGTTGTAGTTGTAGTAGAGACACACTGGTGCATATATTGCGTGCCTCTGTCGAGGGCCCTCTCGGAGCCCTGCTGGGTCCCTTTCGGAGCCCTCTGGGACCTGTTTCGGAGAGCTCCCGAGGCTTTCCGAATTCCCGAAGAGCTCCCCAGGGAATCCAATAAGGCCCCATGAGAGCCCCCAGTGGGCCCCAAAAAGCACCCAAAAAGAGGCGCACTCGTGCATATACTTTGTGCCTCTTTGGGGGGCCCCCCCGGAGCCCTGCAGGGTCCCTTTCGGGGCTCTCTGGGACTTGTTTCGGGGAGCTCCCGGGGCTTTCCGAAT